CTGCGTTGAGAAAAGAAACGATTGATCGTTCGATTTTTTTCAGTAAATAAATCTAATTAATGTAGAAAAAATCTGAAAGTACAAACGACGTTATTATTCATATTATCTTGCATAAGTATATTCCGTTTTTAATATTGAGTTTTTACCTCAGTTCACAAATTTACTTAATTGATTGAGACTTGTAGTGACGCTAATAGAGTGCATAAATAATTTATCTCTTTTTTTTTGTTATCAATCCTTTTATTTTCTCATTTAATGTATGATCGATTTGATTCCAATCGAATGCAATTGCTGATATCAATGACGTCATATTTACGAGCACGTTCGTAAGCAATGACAGGAATATAACCGCATTAATTAATTAATATTCGCCTTGCAAAGACATATCTAAGAGTTAACTTTTTATTTTTTAATTTACAATTTGCAAATTGTGATTTTTTTCAGTCATTAATACTTAATAGTTAATTTTCAATTCTCAGTTTATTATATCTTCAAACTCGTCGAAGTTCAAAAGACATGTACATTTTCAAAGAGTGCAATCCTATGGCTGTAATCACACTAAAAGTTGCCGGTTACTGGTTGTCGGTTCTATTTTCACCAATCATATTGTAGCTAACCTGTACTCGCTGCATGATTGGCTAAAATAAAATCGACAACCTGTAGTATAATTAGGGCCTAACAGGCTTGTCTAACATTCAAATTTCGGAAATTGTCCTTTTCGGAACTTCAATAATAATGTAAGTAAATTTATTAATTTTCTGAATTTTCTTTTTTTTTCTATTAGCGATTAATCGAGTGATATTTTAGCATGGCATCAATCAATTTGCTTCTAATATCCGCATTAATTGTGTTCGCTCCTTTCGCTATCTAATCTATTCCTTATTCCTTATATCTCATTCTCATATTTCATTGCATCTCGACCCTTAGACGCATATCGGAAACCACGAAGGTTATCTTGTAGAACCGCGCGCATATAACACGGCCATTTTCCCCGCTGTCCGGTTGCGATACTAGCGCCAAGTATTTTCAACAATAATAATGCCGGCGGGAGATAGTGCGGAAAAACATTCATCAAAAGTCCATTAACCCGCAAAAGAGAACATGTACGCAAGCTTTGTTTCATAAAGACTATTTTAGATAATCTATAGTTCGTGGCAGATTTCACACGGAATAAAATCCCATTTGTAATTTTTACAGTGCTGTACATGTTTGCGGTTCTGATTATTTAATTTTTATATTATATACACATATGACATATTATATAATTATAAATAGATTTTATTTTAACTAATATAAATTATAGATTATTTTCTATTTTCTCGCTGATTTTCTCAATTCCTTTTTCAGGGATAGAAAAATTCATTGGAAAAATTTATGTGTAAGATCTGCTATATTTACTTCTTTCCGAAAAGAAAATAATTTTAGTTGTTTCTGCAGTTTGAAAAAAATGGCTTTTTTTAAATTATAATTAAGAAAGGTTAGATATGATAGCTCTCTTATACATTTTTATATAATGTTATACTATCTGAAATACAAAGTTGAAAACGAATTCGGCTAAAAATGACATAGAGTAAAATAAGCAAAGACGTGCAACATATTCTACGTTTCAGTGTCTAATCACGAGAAAGGTGGTACAGCGCCATCAGAACTATCAGCCTACATAAAAATAATTTTAGAGAAAAATAGATATATGGAACTTAAAATTAAATTGTTTTTATAAAAAAACTTTCTTCATCAGACAAATTTAATTTACATCATTTTATGGATCGGAGCCGGTAAAATATGTGTACATGCACTGGCAATCGATCGGAGAGTAAAAATACAGCTAGACCGGTTCATTACCGGCCAGTTGGCAATCTTGGACGTGTACAATAGAAATATATTTTGGTAAAACTAAGCAGAATTTCTGGTTATCTTAATAGAACTTGATATTTTATAATTAGAATAGCTTCAATTATATGTTATATTCATTAAACGTTCTTTCCCCGCAAGCTGTAGGTATGAGGCACTGCCGCCAGATGGATACAGTGGAGTTCTGTTTCTCGTAAGTAAACAACTATAGATATAAACAACAGGATAGAATAAAAGGCGCAGCATTATAAGATTTTCCACTGATATTTTAATAAAATCTTGAAAGTATCCCTAAAATAGAAGACAAAAATAAATTCAAGAACTTCTGTGCATGTGTGGGATAATTTCTGAAAGTTATATATGTCAAAACAATTAATAATATCTAAATCTTAATTAATAATATCAAAAATATTATTAGAAATGCAAAATCTGATGCTTCCCACAGTAAAATTATGTGCATATTAGTATTATTGACGTCAAGAATCGAGCATCAAGAAATTTGATATGCAATCAATAGGTAGGAATTAAGCATACTCCTAATAATAAATTTAATTTCAATAAGAATTCTGATTTTTAAACAGACAATTAAATCTATTAGATTTCCGATGAATGCAATCAGATTTCTTTTCCAGCGTGTTTTATTTCTGTTCTGCTTTTTATGATAGATAGTTATCCAATCTTATTATAAGAATGAAAATATCTGTACTTAATTTGTTTTTTCTCGAGTTAGTAGTTGTCATACTGAATTTATAAAGTCAGAGATTCTATTTTGTTTTTACTTGATAAAATGAAAAGTAAAAAAACGAACAAGTAAACAGATACTTATAAATAAAAGAGAAGATGTGAATAAGAAGAAAAGTAAGCTACTCTGCAAAAGTTTCAAAATGTAACGAAAAATATAACGAAAGATAAAGCCTAATAAGAATAAAAGCGTCTCTTAAGAACGTATTAAGTGTATATGTAGTAATAGTTTTCTCTGCAAGAATTAACTGAAATTTGTACTTTTCACATAAATGTTATATACTTATATATACAGATTAATAAGATATATATTTATATTTAACAATAAATTAAAAAATTTTATTATAGTTTTAATAAAATTTTTCATTTCATATTAATTATTTTTTAAAAACATATTTACTTCTTACTGAAATAATGTTTGACCCAGATTCTAAATCACTGCCAAACTTTCATATTATTTTCAAATTACAATGTAGAAAAATCTATAATTTTTCACGTTAAAAAATAAGTGTAATAAATGCATCTTTAACCTTTAAACGCTTTATTATAAGAACAATATAATATATGGCATAATTTAATTGCTTATAATTTATAATTTTCATAAAAATAAATATATACAATTTTTTTCTTCAATCAAAACATCAGATGTCAAGGAATATAACAGTACCGGCTAAAAAAATGTATTTATTAATAAATTTATATATTTGTAATAGAAGTATTTATATAAAAAAAAAGTTATAAGCAATAAAAAAGTATTGGGGAAAAAGCTAGGTATGTCATATTGAAAAGGTTGTAATACATGAAAAAAATTAAAAACAAATCGGCAATCACAAATTGATGATTTGTTTCTGATGCGCAGTTAATAATTTGAAAACGTATGCACGCGCGCTGTAGTTCTCATAAATATGAAAAGAAAATCGAAGGAAAATCTAACCTCTAAACGAGTTCGAATGAAAATTCGCACGTAGATGACTTGCAGGGAGAGAAAAATATTTATCACTGCCTAATCATCTTTAATAACGCACTGCGATATGAACATCGGATAAATATTTCGTTCCGCAAATGTAAACGACAGCTGCAAGCGTATAACAGTAATAAATATTGTTGCGCAACGTGATTGATAATTTGTTTTTGGCTCACACTTAATAGTTCGAAGAAACCTTGAAAATTATAAGACCAATGTCTTCTTCAAAATAATCTTGTCTTTAAATATAAATATTGTCTTTAAATTAAATAATTCTACGAAAAGACTCTTTAATTCTTCATGAATCATACCAAATAAAGATTAAAATCGAAAAAAATATGAGAAATCGACTGATTTTACTCGATGAAACTGGTTTAGTTCATTAAAAATCATATTTCAAAGAGATCCGAGGTCAGACTTTGCTCAGTCCTTACGATGAATGGCGATTCTAAACTATATAAACAATGAATGTGAAGAAAAAAAGGAAGATTAAGGGCCATGACAGACAAAAAAAACTTGAGCAATAAGACGTAAGCAGTATAAAGCGATAAAATCTCTACAATGAGATTTTAAGGCGTAAAACTTAGACTTTAAGCATTAAGCCGTAAGAAATTTACCGATTCGAGTATCTCCTCACATTTGATTGTAATTGGTCAATTTCTTATGGCTTAAAGTTTAAAGCTTAAATTTTACGTCTCAAAATTTTATTGTAGTCACCGATTAAGGAAATCAACATGTTGAGCCGATTCTATAGTTATAAAAATCGACCAATTACAGTGGAATGTGAGGAGAGTAATCAACTACGATTGGTTCAATTTTGACTTACAACTTAGAATCGGTTTTATTGCTTACGTTATAGCCTTAAAACTGCCGCACATACTTTGCATAACAATAACCTTAAGACGTACCTTAAGACATACATAAGAATTATACCTGGTTTACGCTTCGGTCTTAATCTTAGTCTGAAAAGTTGGCAATAAAGAATGCCATAAGATGCTTCCCCAGTCTTAACCGTAGTCTTAATCTTAGTCTCAAGAAAGTTCCTATCTTTTAACTATAATTCTTAAGATTAAATTAGAACTAATTCTACAACTAAGATTAAAACCGAAGCATAAATCAGATATTATCCAATGACTATCTAGAAGTGTCAAAACTCTCCGTTCTGATTTGTTAATTCTTATGGCATGTCTTTCGATTACGGAATGTATATGCGGAGCCCTTTATAATCTCTACTGTGATTGCGTAATTCGCTTGGTGCTTACGTTCTATTGCTTAATTTTTTTTTGAGTGTCATGATTTCAAAAAGATATTCTATAAATGGAAAATTGACATTTCCATTAAAAATGGACGATTAAATTCGGAGTTTCTGAACGAGAGCTAGATAAACAAACGCCGTTAACACGTGGCCGATCCAAAACATCGTGGTCATAACTTCTCTAATTACCATGACGATGAAGATCCGTTGTGCCGTCTGCACACCTCAACTGTAAGAGCATGCCCGATTGATCATTAACATGTTCCAAGGTCCCGCTGCTGCCCCTTCTTAATTCCTGGCGTCTTTTCTCGAGATCAGGTGCCATCAGACTTTCAAGAATATTTTCGCAACCACGTCGTCCTCTTGTCAAAAAACAAGAAAACAAAAAAAAAAAGAAAAGAATGAATCGCTCACAAATCACTGGACGATCTCGACTAAAATTTCTTTTTGTTCATTCACATTCAAAATCGTCCTAAGAATCCCCGAATCGTCTCTCTTTGTAGTAACGAATCTGATGAATTGTTCGAAAATCTCTGTTCACGTTTAACTTTCAACAAATTATCGCTCTTGAAATCGTCCTAGAGTTTATGCTAATCCATAAGATTCTTTCCACTTCTTATTCAACTCCACATACAAATCGCCCAATACAGTCACATGTCACTTAGCGATCTAGCGCAAGTAATAGGATATTA